GATGTTTGAACTTAAAAATGTTTAAGAAGAGTATCAAGGTTGTGTTTTTTGTAGAAATTCATGGAGCATCCTCGTCAATTTAAATTCATTCACCTTTTACTGTGGGAAATTTTGGAATTATTTATGGTGCAAGAGAAAATTATGGAACCAATTATTTTTTTGTTAGTATGGTATTATTATATGTGCGCAACGGGTGAGCATCAGCCAAAGACTTTTAGATGAAAACCGTGACCTCGGCCGACGAGCACTATTGAAGGAATTTTTCTTCTTTAAAAGGAGTGTACTTCTGAGTTATATAGCTATTCCATGAAAAAAGAGAGTAAACAGTTGCGTCAAAGCTGATGGTCATTTAGGAAGAAAATACTCGTCAATTTGATAGCTCTATTCCATCTAATCAAACACACTATGGAATGTAAAAGAAAAAGAAAAAAGGCGAAATATTTAGAATTCACTGTTTTAGCTCTTTTTTTTTTTCAATTTTCAACTTTCAGAGTAACTGTGGACTGAAAAAGCCAAATCACATGGCAAACTGACATGACCTAAACTGATCGTGGAGTGCTTTGCATTTAAACTGAAAATAGAAATCGTTCGTAATATGGCAGAGATCTTAATTACTTACTTCGTAGTTGCTGTGCATGAAGATATAAACGGTATACAAGACCGATAAAACAACCAGCGTACGCAAACAACCTGCCTATGCGTATACATACCCGAAATGATCTTGGTCAATCTGTTAGTCTTCAATACTCAAACCTATCACATAAAGAGAGACGAGATGTTAAAATTGACCGAAATCTGCAGCGTTACACATTGATTGTGGATTAAAAAGTCAGTTAATAAGAGAAAAAGATCATAAATGACAACCTCTGGTCCTCGGCTGATCGAAGGTCCTTCAAAGACAAATTGCCAGCCTCGAATAAAGAGAACGTTTTGTTTTGTATGCGGGCGTTGGCCATGAAACGTTTCATAGTCTAATTGGTTGCTTATGATGTCAAGACTGCAGTGATAGGGTAGAATGAAA